CCCCCCCCCCCCCTCCCCCCCCAACGTGCCTAAAAAAATCAGCCTCAAGGGGGCATCACTGTGTACCGCCCTCGCGTGTCAGGACACGCGTCCTCCAACTGACGCTGCTGCGAACGGCACTCTCACCTCTCTGTACCAGGTGGGGAAGTCGTCGAACTTGCTCGCGGTGATGGCCAGGAGCGTCTCCTTCTTCATGCCCGCCTTGCTGTTGGGATCGCTGCGCTCGTGCTTGACCTTCTTGGCCGCCTGCTTGGCCTTGGCCACTGACTTCTTGGCGGCGTTAGGATCTGTGGGTAGCGTTGTCGCCATTGTTTGGTGTTGGTGGTGATGGTATCGCCACGCCGAACGCAAAACCGAGACAGACAGACAGACAGACAGACAGACAGAGGGACAGAGGGACGGACACAAAGAGGGAGATAGAGCGGGGAGAGAGGGGAGAGAGAGATCGGACACACAAAAGGGTGGGGGCAAGAGCACCGAAACCAACCCGGGGTCCAAAAATTCTGACAAGAGCTGACACACACACGTGGGAGACAGAAACACAAAGACAAGACTTCACGAACCCACAGCGCGAACTCCTCCCATCACCACACGACAACAACATACGCATGGCATGCTAAGACGTACCAAGAAATTGACAAGAAGGCGAAGGAGGAAACGACGCCCACACCGACGAGTCTTTCTTGGTGATGAGAGAACATCCCTCCCGTACGAGGAAACTGTATTCGCGAGAAAATAAGTGTATGAATCAATGGAACATGGAGGGGGTACGCAGACCCTATCCCTATCCCTAACCCTAACCCAACTTACCCGATCGCATGCTTCATCCAATATGTTTACTTAATAGAAAACCCCTGAGAAGGCTACTGTCTACGACCATTTTTACGACGAGAAATGACAAAGAGGTGTTGGAAGCAATTAGGAACAAGGATTGAACTTGAAAGGAAAGTGGTTGCTCACCAATCTTGACCGCAGCCGCGTTTCGGACGCTTTCCGGGTCTGCGGGAGCCTCCTTGACCGCGGAAAAGTCCAGCACCGTAGGGACGTGTCCGCAGGCAGTCACGTACTGAATGACAGAAGCACAACACAAGAGAATCGATTTGAAGGTGGGGAGGAGTGAAAAATCAGTAACTTGGGTCTGCGTAGTCAAGAACCGTTCCCCGATGTTTTTTTCCGGTACTAGATTACTTGTTTCGCTCTTGGCAGATCTGGTGAACAGAGGTTTCCACGAAAAACAACGCTGATTTACGCAGTATGATAAGTCACCAGTGTCATTGCCACAAGTGATCTGTGCTGCGGCAGTAGCAGAGCAGTGAGCAAGCAAGGAAACAAAAGCGTGGGCCACACCTTCGTGACAGGTGTGCGGATGTACATAGTAGCACAGTAGACGTGAGTCTACAACCACATGGAATTTGGTTCGAAGAAAGAAGAGAAAAGTATATTGTACAGTGTTGTGCTATTGAGCTGGAAGGAAACAGAGTGAGTTCCGGGGGGNTGCCTGGTCCGCATGCATTTTCGCCAAACACCCACGAAACCACGAACAACCTTGGTCCTCTCCCGGAACCGTTCCGGGAACCAAACACCGATCCACGACCAAAAGGAATGTCCCGGAACCGTTCCGGGAGCCTATCTAATATTGTCTTGGACTTTTCGTTAGAACGTTCCTGACCACCGTTCAAGGAAAACGTGCCGGATCTAGGAACACTCTACGAACCGGTGAGGAATCTACCGCATCCATCAGCATCGTTCATTCCAAAGTGGTACTACTCCACTAGCTTTTCGTACCGAGCAAAGTGAGCCACGTCCCGTATACTGAAACCGGTATCGTTTTGTGCTACCAAATCGCTTATGACGTACGTGGGATGCTTTACTGCCCGTGTTGTATTCATGATACATTGAATGATATTTTAACAAGGGAGAGTGGCGGTCCGAGGTTTGCGGCAACCATCACGGCCACACCATCGCCCGATTTAACAGAAATTGTGCATTTCTCCCTTCTAACAACAAAAAATAACAATCCCTCCCTCCTGCCTTACCCCGGCTCATGCCTACACAAAACAAATGTCTACCTCTGTGTAATAGTTTATTCCCGCCGCGGTCGGAACGGTTATTGATGTCATGACAGCAACAACCCCACCAACAAGAAAACACGTTGCAACATCATGCAGCGAAAACAAACAAAGCACTCCGAAGACGCCAGTCACCCAGCCACCTCCCAACACGTCACGACCCACGCACACCTTGACGAGATCGGCCGCCTTGATGCGCACGCTCCGGTCGTTCCTGAGGGGGTGCACCAGCACCTCCTCCGCATCCATGATCGACTTGTCCATCGCAAGCTTGGCCACTCCCTCAACGTCGTTCACCACGGCGAGGGGACTCACGGCTCCTTGGACTACCCCCAGAACTGAGTCGAGGGTAGCCGCGTCGGCGAAACGAAGGGAAACCTGAAGGGGGGGGGTCGGGGGGGCGTACTCTTACTCTTATGTTTTGCATGCCTTAGCGGTTAGACGTGACCACGCGTTCTCGAGAGGACGGAGCATTATTCCCACAGGGGGGGGGGGGG